TCCTGGTTTTAGAAATTGCATATGGTTATGATTCAGACATTCGTTTTTTGGAAAAACATCCAACTCAAGTTAAAACTTTTATCTCGCAGAGGACAGAAAAGTGAAGAGTCCTTCTGTCTCTAATATCTTAGATGGCATTCTCATATATGTATACAGAACTCTCAACCAACACCTGTCACCACCCCTTGTATTCTGGCCTGTTGGCAAATGTAGCAGGAAAGGAAAGTGGGTTTGATGTGCACAGTGATATAAAGACTGGAGGAGATATTCTTCCCACTTCTATTTAAAGTAGAACTATAGGCAAAACTTTTGTTTCATTTTGGATAGAGTAAGAGAGGGTTATAACCCCTGTCAGATTTTGTTTTTGCCATCTGTGTCCCATTGCATCGATTTTCCTTTTTGTCCCATAGACAAAAAGGAAGTGAGAAGAAATCCCTGAAGATTAAAGGAATTTCTTAAAGGTCCCCCAGGTCACCAGATCTAGTGTCCCCATTGGAAGATTTTCCCTCTATTACTCTTCTGGGGACCACCCAAAATTTGGGATTTTCTTTTACTTTCATTTTCTATTATATTGGTAAACTGGACAAAAAAAGAGAGAGTAAATCTTCCTAATGGGGGTTCAGACAGCAGTAAAAACTGACAGGTGTTCTAATCCATCTCCACCCTGTCCAAAACTAAAAAAAAAAAAATGCCTTTAGTTATACTTTACTCATGGCCTTGTCTGTTGGGGAAGTGAATCTGAATGATCTCATTAGATACTGGAAGAATGTTATCAGTTTTATATTTTAATTTCCATCTGCATACTTCCCTCTCATTAGTCTTCTATTTGTATCTGTGCAGCTGTTCAAAGTCATTTATTTCTATATTTCAGATAACATTCTATATGGTTATCAGCACTCCAGGGATCACTATAGAAACTACAGAATTGGAGGTGAAACTTGAACTGGCCACGTAAGAGTTTAGATGAGCCATTATGTCGTTTTGTGTATATAAATCTGTGATGCCAGTTAAATGGTTGTAACTTGACATTCACAGTAGGATTTACAGCAGGACTCTTTAGACTTTTACACAGCTTTTAAAGTGCTGTTTCAGTGCACCATACACATAGATGTGGTGTCCTTAACTGACTTGTTACAGATATTGACATTGGTTCATTTTATAATCTACTGATGCTCTGTAAAATGTACATCACAAAGCTGACAATCAGATTCCGGTGTACCGTAGTGTACTGTAGTAATATAAGTGGAAGTTGATTTTAGAATAGTTTAAACTGAATATTACATATAATATTTATTAAACTTTACACTGCTGTGCTAAATATGATAGTGTTTTCGCACAAAAAAAACCCAAGACATTCAAAATTTGAAAAAGTAAAAAAAAGGGGTTAATACGGTACCTAAATAAGGGAAACAAAGAAACACAGCGCCTCTAAGTGTGTACTGTGAAGGTATTTAATAAAAAGATAAGCAGTAACTCACATCTTAGAATTTAAAAACAGGCTCATGGGTAAGAGGGTGAGACGTCTGTAGCCAGATGTTGTTGTGTGTCTGATCCAGAGAGGAGATCGATTGAGTCCATCAGGAGGTGGTGCTGTGCATGTGCAACATGGATGGTAAGCCTGGTGGAATTTCCAGGGTGTCTGCCACCAGATGGTACCGTGCATATGCAGCATGGATGGTGGAGCCTGGCAGGGTCCGGAGCAGTCTGGCAGAGTCCAGAGCTCCGTTTCTGAGCATGTGCAGGACGAGATGAGTCCAGTTCATCAGGCATCGATGATGAAAGAGCGAGCCTGGACTCATCTCGTCATGCCCAGAAACGCGCTGCATTTTGATGACGTCAGACGCCACATGTGCTGATCCCCCACATCTTGGAGACTCTGCCAGGCTCCACCATCTATGCTGCATATGCACAACACCATCTGCTGGCAGACATCTTGGAGATTCCACCAGGCTTACCATCCATGTTGCACATGCACAGCACCACCTCCTGACGGACTCAATCGTTCTCCTCTCTGGATCAGACATACAACAACATCTGGCTACAGACGTCTCACCCTCTTACTCATGAGCCTGTTTTTAAATTCTAAGATGTAAGTTACTACTTATCTTTCTAGTAAATACCTTCACAGTACACACTTAGAGGTGCTGTGTTTCTTTGTTTCCCTTCTGCAGAGTTGTGCTTCGCTCCTATGCAGCTTGCCCTTAGTGCCTACTGGGGCTACCTTCACCCCTGCCCATTTGGAACTCATCAAACATACATGGACTGCCACACCATGCGCCTGTTATCCCTTTTGTGTTAATACGGTACCTGACTTGCAATGAACTGTAATATGCTCTAATATTCACTAAATGTATGGTATCGCTGAGGATTTCTGGACACTAAGCCCTGGTTCACACCAGTGCGACTTGTCATGCAATTTGACCATTCCAAATCACATGACAAGTCGCACCCTATTGTCGGCAATGGAACCATTCAAATCAGTGCAACTCTTCTGCAACTGAAAGTATTTCCTGCTCTATTTTTGGCAATTTCAGGTGCGACTTGCGTAGACATCTATGCATGAAGTCATACAGATGTCTGGTAAGTTGCTCCTGAAATCGTACTGACCTGCGGCTTTGATAGTGCGCCGCTTCAAGTGAAGTAATGTGATTTCAAAGTCACATTCAGCCTGGGTTCACACTGATGCGGTGCGGAATTTGCAGCGTTTTCTGTGCAAATTCCGCACTGCATCAGAATCGCACCCCGTTCATGTGAACCATTGTGGGTGTGTATGTTAAGTTAACAACACCACAAAATCGGTCCGCAAAACGTGGTGCAATGTGCAGAATCGGATCTCATGGGTGTGAATATCCATGCGATCCAATTCTAGTGCGGACCAAAAAAAGGGTCCTGCACCTTTTTGGTGCGGATGCAGTGCGATTTGAACCATACAAAATGTATAGCTCAAATCGCACCGCACAGAATTTGCATGTGGTTTGCACAGGAATGCAGTGCGGTTCCTGTGCGAATCACATGCGATATGCCGCACCGCGCAAGTGTGAACCCAGGCTTAGTGTGAACCAGGGCTAAGGAGGAGATTTACTAAAACAGATGCACTCAGAATCTGGTGCAGCTGTGCATGGTAGCCAATCAGCTTCTTCGATTTAAGCTTTGAGGAAAAATAATCTGGAAGCTGATTGGTTTCTGTGCAGAGCTGCACCAGATTTTGCGCTCTCCAGTTTTAGAAAATCAACCCCTAAATGTCTAAGGTCATTCACTTGTATACAGTATACACAAATGGATCTGCTGGAAACCAATTCATTTGCAGTGTGCACAGAACCGTTAGGCTACATTCATATGGACATTTGTATTTGACAGCAGCTAAACACCAGTAATCTTCACTTACCGCAAATAGTTGCGGTTTGTAAATGCGATGCGCCAGCGTTTTCAGACAGTTTTTTCCCAATACCCCATTCTTGGAGGATGTTAAACCCCAGGCACCTCCTCTTCCTCTTTGTGGGTAGTTTTCCTGAGCAAGGAGATAGAGCTGTGTAATTGAAATGGAGTACAAAGCAAAGCTGGTGCCTGCTTGAGAGGAGAAGACTGAGCCTGGGTGCACACCAATGCGGTGAGGGAAACACTGCAAATCCTGTGCGTTTTCCGCACCACATTGCAGTCGCATCACGTTCATGCGATCTGGTGTGGGTGTCAATGATAAATTAATGACACCCTGAGACAAATCGTAAAAATGCGATGTGATTGCCAGAAATCGCATCACATGGGTGAAATCATTCAGGTGCGGATTTAAAAAAGCATCCTGCACCTTTTTTGGGCGGATGTGATATGATTTGAGCCATACAAAGTGCATGGCTCAAATAACACTGCACAGACATTTGCATGTAATTTGCACAGGAATTTGGTGCGATTCCTGTGCAAATTACATGCGTTGTCCCTCACCACATAGTGTGAAGCTGGGCTGAGCCTGATAGAGAGGCAGAGAGAGAGGCAAATGAAATGAAGATGGGTACATCCCCTCACATCTAACTTGGGGATGTTTTGTCCTGATGTATGAGGAAATCAAAACCTATCCTGATAAATTTTGCAACTTTACCAGAATGTTAGTGTCCACCTTTGACAGCTTACTAATCATTGTTAGACCACTTCTGCAAAGAATGAATACTAACATGAGGCTCCATGCAAACTGGGTGTTTTATTAACACTGGTAGCGTTAACCAAAAAACCAAGTTTTTCAGCGGTTTTTAGTGTTTTTACATTTGCGTTTAGCCGCGTTTTTCCACATTTGCGGTTTTTGTAATTTTTTACACAAAAAAGTAAATTAATAATAAAAATTAAACAAAATTAATAAAAACCGCCTAAAAACACTGGTTTGCCACGTTTTACTGCATTTTACCGCTTTTTCAGTGTTAGAGCATTTTTACAGCTAAAATACTCCTCTAGAAACCCACTAGTTTCTGGGGTTTTTTTTTCCAGTCAAAAAACGCCCCCCAGACAAAAAACGCTGATTAAAGCCTATGTGTGCATGGACACATAGCATAATATGCTGGGGAGTTTTACTGGCTGCTCTCCCCTGAAGCCAGTCGTTGGGAGCTGATCACATAACTGGACCGGAGCATTGCGAGAAATATAAGCATCTTCCTTCTACAGGATAGTTTGTATGAGTGTTAGAATTGGGGTTGGGAGCAGGGGCGGACTGACAACTCATGGGGCCCCCGGGCAATAGGGGATCATGGGGCCCCTGTGTCCTTGCCCACACTCAAACAACACCCAAAAAAGCCTATGAAAGGTACCAGGGACATCTCATGGGGTCCCCCCTACTGACCCTGGGCCCTCGAGCAGTGCCTGAGTTCCGCAATGGTCTGTCCGCCCCTGGTTGGGAGTCATTTTAAACTTAGTTCTAGCCTTGAATTACATTTGAACTCTTAGTTTTGTAAGCCCTCTTTTTGCACTGACCATTTAATTGCTAAACATGTGACAGAATTCATTATATTTGTGTTTGTAGGATAAGTGAGCAAGTGAATCTGTCTGTTGTACTGGCCAATGTCAATGTGATCATTGAACTGCCGCTGTCTGTCTCCGGGTAAGTCAATATGTAATAGGCTGTACTCTGATCTGTTGGAGCAGGCTCATTTACATGCATTGTTACAATTGGGGCTGATTTACTAATACTAGAGAGTCTAAAATCTGGTGAAGCTGTGCATGGTAACCAATCAGCTTCTAACTTCACCTTGTTCAATTAAGCTTTGACAACAAAACCTGGAAGCTGATTGGTTTCTATGCAGAACTGCACCAGATTTTGCAGTCTCCGGTTTTAGTAAATAAATTTCAATGTGTCTGTCGCCTGTTACTCTTTATATCAGACCGCACAAAAAAATTACATTGTGCCTCTAAAAGGTAAAAGACCCAAAAAATGTTCAAATGTGTTACATCCAAGAAGGGAAGAAAGTAGCTCCATTACACAATATTACTTTTCAACATAAAACACCAAAAATGTAAAGTGGAACTTCACTCTCGCATTCAACATTGATTCTGCTAGTATTAGTAAATAGATATAAAGGTATATTATATTTATTTGTTTTAAACTTTTTTTTTTGTCAGTTTCTTCTTAAGTTACCGTATTTTTCGCTCCATAAGACGCACCTGACCATAAGACGCACCTAGGTTTTAGAGGTGAAAAACAAGAAAAAAAAATATTCTGAACCAATGGACTGCAGACACAGTAGAGGGGATGACCAGAGACTGTGGACACAGTACAGGAGATGACCAGAGACTGCGGACAAAGTACAGGGGATGACCAAGAGACTGCGGACATAGTACAGGGGATGACCAGAGACTGCGGACATAGTACAGGAGATGACCAGAGACTGCGGACAAAGTACAGGGGATGACCAAGAGACTGCGGACATAGTACAGGGGATGACCAGAGACTGCGGACACAGTGCAGGAGATGACCAGAGACTGCGGACACAGTACAGGGGATGACCAGAGACTGCGGACACAGTGCAGGAGATGACCAGAGACTGCGGACACAGTGCAGGAGATGACCAAGAGACTGCGGACACAGTGCAGGAGATGACCAGAGACTGCGGACACAGTGCAGGAGATGACCAGAGACTGCGGACACAGTGCAGCAGATGACCAGAGACTGCGGACACAGTGCAGGAGATGACCAGAGACTGCGGACACAGTGCAGGAGATGACCAGAGACTGCGGACACAGTGCAGAGGATGACCAGAGACTGCGGACACAGTGCAGGGGATGACCAGAGACTGCGGACACAGTGCAGGGAATGACCAGAGACTGCGGACAGTGCAGGGAATGACCAGAGACTTCGGACAGTGCAGGGAATGACCAGAGACTGCGGACAGTGCAGGGAATGACCAGAGACTGCGGACAGTGCAGGGAATGACCAGAGACTGCGGACAGTGAAGGGAATGACCAGAGACTGCGGACAGTGCAGGGAATGACCAGAGACTGCGGACAGTGCAGGGAATGACCAGAGACTGCGGACAGTGAAGGGAATGACCAGAGACTGCAGACAGTGCAGGGAATGACCAGAGACTGCAGACAGTGCAGGGAATGACCAGAGACTGCTGACCTTTGGGGGGGAGGGAGGGGGAGCGGGTACCTGAATTTGACAGGTACCCGCTCCCACTTCCGCGGAGTTGCCTTCCCTCTTCTTCCCAGGCTGGCTTCTGTGACAGCCGGGTGCCCACTGTGCATGTGCGAGAAGCGCTGCGCTTTGTGAATGGCCCGGCGCCTTCTGGGACCTGTCATGTGTCCCAGAAGACACTGGATCATTCACAAAGCGCAGCACATGCGCAGTGGGCACCCTGCTGTCACAGAAGCCAGCGCGGGAAGACTGTGCAGTGCTGGAGCGAGGAACAGGTAAGGCCCTGCAGGAGACAACAGCTGAGCGGCCGCCCGGTATTCTGACATGGTGGCCGCAAAAAAAATACCGGACCGGCCGCTTTATATTCGCTCCATAAGACGCACTGACATTTTCCCCCCTTTTTGGGGGGGAAAAAAGTGCGTCTTATGGAGCGAAAAATACTGTACTTCCTGTCTTTCTCCGCTAAGCGCACCCTCCTGTCTGCATGCCTGAGCTAAGGCCAGATAATTTTCAGGAAGTGAATGCTACATGAATCATTTGCCCTTACTCTAGATGGGCCACAGCCAGACATGCTATAGGGTGTTTTTCAAAATGATTTCTCTGCAAAATCAAGCATGGAGATATGGATGAATGGGGGAATTTAAATACTAAAAAAAAAAGCCAGGTTACAATATGCCCGACAACACTTTGACGTGCCTCACCAGGTTTTTTATTGGCATTGGTGCAGTAAAGGCTTCTTTCTGGCAACTCGGCCATGCAGCTACTTTTTGTTCAAGTATCATCGTATTGTGCTCCTTGAAACAACCACGCTGTCTTTTTCCAGATCAGCCTGCATTTCTGCTGAGGTTACCTGTGTTTTTTTCTTTGTATCCTGAACAATTCTTCTGGCAATTGTGGCTGCAATCTTTCTGGGTCTAACTGACATTGTCTTGGTATCAAGAGATCCTTGAATTTTCCACTGCTTAACCTCGTGAGGATTTACCCCCCCCCCCCCCTCCTGACCAGGCCAGTTTTTTTTTGTTACAGCGCTGCATTACTTTAACTGCCAATTGCAACGCTGCACCTAAATTAAATTTACATCCTTTCTTTCCCACGGATTGAGCTTTCTTTTGGTGGTATTTGATTGCCTGTGCCTTTTTTATTTTTTGCGCTATAAAAAAAAGACCGTCTTTTTTGAGAAAAAAACTATATTTTTGACTTTTTGCTTAAACATGTCCAGTAGAAAAATTTAAATAAATCAAATTTTGTCATAAATTTATGCCAAAATGTACTCTGCTACATGTCTTTGCTAAAGAAAATCCCAATGCGTGTAAATTAATTGGTTTACGTGAAAGTTATAGCATTTACAAATGGAAGTTTTTTTTAAAAAAATGTTTATTTTTACAAGTAATGGCGGCAATCAGCGACTGCGGGACTGCGGTGGGCATTCTGACACTGGGGGGAACTGACTTGGTGTCACTGACATCCCCAGTAACACCAATACAGTGATCAGTTCTAAAAAAAAAAGCACTGACACTGTACTAATGGCATGAGGGGCGTTCAAAGGGTTAACTGTGTGCTGTTTTACTTGTGTCTGTTTCCGTGTGCTTCACTGTAAGCACACTGCTTTGGATGGCTGTGCTGTGCACAGCCATCCAAAGCAGTGTGCATGAGCTGGCAGGGAAGAGAACTATTTTGTTTACAAACAGTTTCCCTCCCCCGTCAGGGATGCTCGGCAATCACCGGGCGCCGGCGAGTAATCACTGGGAGAGACCCGGTGATTGACAACTGCGGCCGCGAATGGCAGTGTGGGTAGGGCACGCGTGCCCCCTACCCGGAAAATTCTAAATCACGTATATAAACACGTGATTTTGCGCATCCGTGCCGCCATGTAGCAGTATTTTGGAAAGTAGTTAATAAGTGATTGAACAGTACTGGCTGGCATATTCAAAGCTTTGGTTATCTTTTTATATCCTTTTTCTTCTTTATAAAGTTCCATTACCTTGTTAGGCAGGTCTTTTGACAGTTCTTTCTGCTCCCCATGGCTCACATTCACTAGGTGCACATTCAGTGTATTATAAATACAGTGAATATGACAGCTAATGTCAGCAAATATGCTGCAAAACATGTAACATGAATGTTTTTAAAGTTTGCCCTGCTTAAAGCAGAAATAAAACCATCATTTTAATGGTTTCATAAAACAGTCACATTCAAGGCATGCCATGAATGGTAACTGTCAGGGCCTGTTCCCACCACTAGCACTGCCACGCATTTCCTGCACTGCACTGAAACGCGCTGCCTTTTTTAGATGCCATTAATTGTTAATAGTGCCCCTATGTGGTTTGGTGTGGCACAATTTTAAAAATCATGCCTGCCGTTCTTTTTGTGTGTTCTTGTGCATTTGCCAGCCCATTAAATTGAATGAGCTGTCAAAAACGGGCTGTGCAGGATCGTGCAAAACACATGCCTTATGATGTGAACCCACCCTCCCAGTTACTTGTGCTCTTATCCAAACTGTCAAGTTATCAAGTGGCTGGTGCCATGACTGATCACATGTGCAGCACCATGGAAGATCAAATAGAGCCTAAGATGGCAGCTTCCTGTGCTGTAAAGGAAGGGAGGGTTTTGTTCTGCTTTAGGTTGTTTATATTTGGTTCTCCCTAAGGTCTGGTGTTCCTAATGAATGATTCAAGCCATGTTTTGGCATTATATGCTTTAGGTTTACATTTCTTTCATTCATTTATGCAGTGTTACTGTTAGGACTGTGTGAACAGTATGGCGGAGCAGTGACATAATACTGACAGGGATGTTCATGGTTCTCTTTCAGAGAGGCTTCACCAAACAGACTGTTCTATAGTGGACAGGTAAAGGGAGAGTCTGCCATGAAGAATGAAGATGATGTGGGCAGTTCTGTGGATGTGGAAGTCACAGTATGTCATTTCCCATTTTAATTGCTGTCCTATAATGCAGTACTGCTTGCTCACATAAATAAGGCAACGATCCATATATTTCAGAATGAGTAATCGCACTAATTAATATTAATATGGGTTACATTTTAATTAATGTTGTCATTGCACTAAAGTATATCTAAATCCAGAACTTTTTGTTACTGGGAGCAATCTATCCAATGTGGACACAGGCAACAATAAAAACATGCAGTGGTTCTAACCCCTCGCCCTCTATCCAAATCTTTAAAAAAACGGTTTTGCCTTTAAGTATACTTTAATTCACTCATTCATGATACACCAACCCAAATTACCAGTATATACTGTATGTATTGTATTGTATATGAATCTTTTTTTTTTTAAATCAAGTAAAGAAAATACGGCATTCCAGGACATTACATACTATTGTCATTTAGCATGTGATATCACAGCAGTGAAACATTTATACATTTTTGTCTAATAGTCCTCCAGCAATTGCCAGCACCAATAAAGCATCAAAGATATCGAAAGATATCTTTGCACTTTACAATATACAACATAGCAGGAAGTGAACCCCTATGGTCTCCCAGAAGAATTCTCTGAAAAGGCCATCTTTGTTCTACCAGGGTCACATCCAAAGAATGGATCTCCCTGTGTGCAACATACTGATATGACATCATCTTCCCTGCATGTGTCTTCCAAGGCAGACCTTGAGATACTGTACCCAGGCATAGCCACTTGAGTGGAGCTGAAAGACTGTTTTTAATGATAAAGGATGTTTTGGAAAGTTGAATATTGCTATATATTGTAACACATCAGGAATGTATTCAATTCATGCAGGCTTGTGAAGCTATGGATCAGTCCACTTTACACTACTAATAATACATATGATCTGTTAATCAGGTATCAAATCGTGGAAAATCTTTGCGAACACTAGGTTCTGCCTACCTGAATCTAATGTGGCCACATGAAATGGCAAATGGGAAATGGCTCCTGTACCCAATGAAGATCCAGCTGAAGGAGAAAGTGCAATCTGGCCGTAGCATGGAGTGCAGTCCCGTAGATGCAGTCAACCCCCTCAAACTGGTGTGTGAGCTCTCTGCATGTCAATGATCCTACTCTCCTTCTCACCCCTATACATACAACAGGAATATGCTCTAACACTCTGAATTATCACACAGAATACAGTGAGAGAAGACACCAAAACCTCTGGGCAAAGTCAAAGCTCAGCAAGTCGGTGGGCAATCACATATCCAGCAAAGAAGAAAGACATTGTTTTGGTAATTATTACAGCAGTGCTCGTTTTACTAATTATAAGGGCAAAGTTCAGGAGTGTTGTTCTCACATTATACTAAATAATTTTTTTTTTTATTATTATTATACATGATTTGATATAGCGCCAACAGTTTGCTCAGCGCTTTACAATATAATGGCAGACAATACAGCAACAATACAGTTTAATACAAGAGGGTTAGGAGGGCTGTGCTGCTTGGAGCTTACAATCTAAGAGGGAGGGGCTAGTGATACAAAAGGTAGTAATTGTGGGGGATGGATTGGTAGGAGGAGTAGAAGATTCCATTATTAGCTGAGGGCAGGATAGGCTTCTCTGAAGAGATAGGTTTTTAGAGATGGCCTAAAAGTGAGCAGAGTAGGCGATAGTCTGATAAATTGGGGTAGAGAGTTCCAGAGGATGGAGGAAGCTCTGGAGAAGTCCAGTAGATGAGCATGGGAGGAGGAGACAAGGGAGCGAGAGAGTAGGAGGTCGTGCGAGGAAGGGAGAGTACGGTTTGGGTGATATTTGGAGACAAGATCGGTGATGTAATTTGGGGCAGAGTTATAAATGGCTTTGTATGTTATTGTTAATGTTTTGAATAGTATATCACTACGAATACTAGCCATAGATATGAGATGATGATTGCCATGATTGGATGACAGTTTTGTGTCTAAGGTATGGGGTGGCACACCCACAAGGATAATTATAATTTATTTGATAACAAGCACTTAAAGCAGTGGTTGTCAAATTAGGAGCTAAAGGAGGCCTTAAATGTGGCCCCTGACATCACCCAAGGGCCACACATAATGTTCAATACATGTAATGCTTAAGAGGACTGTCAGAAACTGCAGACCTAATAGAGTAAATGAGGATCACAGAGTGTGGACATGCTCCATTTTTGGCTGGGAATATGCTGCAGAAGACAATATGAAACTTGAACATGTTACTTGAGTCTAGCAGAGACAGGGACAGGGGTGGACTGGGCAGTTGGGGCCATTCTTATACCCCAAAAAAGGCCATACCTCTTTTGCTGCAGACATGCCAAAAGGCTTCTTGTTGAAGAGAGGAGTAAAACGCCCCCACCCGTGTCCTACCAAGTGCGGGATGAGGACAAGGACAAAGCATAGGCCGCCCCCCCCCCCCCCATGGTTGTATACACCGTTTCCAATCAGAGGCTGGCTCTGTGCCCTACCAGAGGCTTTCCTCCCCCTGCCACCCCCAGCCACCCCTGATGGCCAGTTTGGGAACCAGGCAGGGAAGAGTGAGAGCGGGAGGGGGCCAAATCGCTGCACCATGGGCCTCTAGTTTGTACTTGTCCCCTGGACCAAAAGTTGACAGTCAGCCCCTGAGTAGATGTCAATGCAATTACCCTAATGAATGTTCCCACTACAAACTGCTGAGGGCCGCACATCATATACCAAAGAACTGTACCCTTGGGCCATAAGTTGGGCGCCAGGGACTTAAAGCATAAGTAAAAATAAAAAAAAACCATAAAATATTGCACTTTACCAATCCAGTCCTTCAATATTATGAAGCAATGCAAATGCAGCAGAAATAGCTGCATTAGTTTTCATTTTCAGGACAAGGATATTTTTAGCAAGTATAGAAAATACCTGTTGATCTTGCCAGAAATAGTGTCCTCATAACTACCTGTAATATGAAGTTGTGAAGATCTTTATTGTGCAGACTACAAATGCCATCATCCTTGAATGTAATTGAGAATCAAATGCACACACAGTCAGCCTGGGTGGCTCCTTCCATAGATACAGTCGACAAGCAAGTGTAGCCAGCTAGGAACAGGCAGTGTGTTATTCACAGGATTATCAGGTGAAAATAAAGGGGGAAAAGCCTAAAAAAAAAAAAAACTAATGCAACAATCTCATCTAAGGACTAGTAAGGTGAGATGCTGTATGTTAATCTTTTCCTATTGGTTTTAAATACACTTTAAGTTGTAAAATACTTGTTAATGTTTGTGAATTAACCTAAACATGACTTGATTACTCCAACTAATACTTTAATCTCTGGCATCACTTTTGAATATCGGCCAATGTATTGCAATCATAACAGTGAACAGTCTTGACTAGGTTGTACAATGGTAATGTACACTTCCACAAACAATTGCATGTAATGTACACCCTACTGGCAAACATATAACAGTCATACAATTAAATACATACCACTACAATGCTCACTTTGTTCTGATGTCAAAGTACAGGGGGTCTGTTGATCAAATGTGCCTAAAAAAAAACAACTTATCTATAGCTCCAACTCTAGGGAAGAATGGGAAAATGAAAAGGAGAAACTGATTGTCTGACCTAAAGTGATATTAAAGTCATTTTTTTTAAAAGGATAAGTTCACCTTTTGCTAAACCATAATAAATTCACATGTTTTGCAAAATAAAAAATGTGCATTTATTATTTTTTGTTGCAAGAGCCTGTAAGCGATCTGGTGATTGCTGGTGCCATGAAGGTTTCCTGCTGACCTGTCATTATATCTACTTTCCCGTACAGGATGTACAGTATGGGTAAGCAGATATACTGACAGGAAGAATCAATTAACTACCTTGGTGCTCCACAACGCTGTGGTAGTTCATTGGGCAGCATAGTGGCTAAATGGTTAGCACTTCTGCCTGGCAATACTAGGGTCATTGGTTCAAATCCCAACTACGGCACCTCTTGCCTGGAGTTTGCATGTTCTCCATGTGCCTGCGTGGGTTTCCTCCCACACTCCAAAGACATGCTGGTAGGTTAATTGGATCCTATCTAAATTGTCCCCAGTATGTATGAATGTGAGTTAGGGACCTTAGATTGTATGCCCCTTGAGGGTTAGGGATGATGTGAATGTACAATATATGTAAAGCGCTGCCTAAATTGATGGCACTATATAAGTACCTGAAATAAATAAATTGAGAACTGCAAGTCTGCTGCTAAGGCTGTGGGGATCTGTAGTTTCTCATTCACAGAGGACTATTTTTTTTTTATTTTGACAGCAAGCAGGAGGAGAAGATCCCCCGCTAGCTGTCAAAACAGGGGAGAGGGGGCCATTCTATTCGTAACATGTTACACCCTGAATATCAGTGTAACATGTTATGAAAGGTGAACTTATCATTGAAATAACAAACATGTCATACCTCCTCTGTGCAGTGGTTTTGCACAGAGAAGCTCCGATCCTCCTCTTCTTTGGTCCCCCACTAGTGCTCTTGGCTTCTCCCTCCTGTCGAGTGCCCCCAGAGCAAGCAGCTCACTCCCGAGCTGCTGCTCTGCATGTCCATTCACACACAGAGCCATGGCCCTCTCTTCTCATTGGCTCACTGCCCGTGATTGACAGCTGGCTGCTGACAGCAAGTTGGGAGGGAGAGTCCCTAGGGAGCCAAGGGTCTCGTGCAGGTTGGTTGATCGCGATGGGGCTCAGGAAAGAATTAGGGAGGGGTGAGGCACACCAAAGGTTTTTTGCCTTCATGCATAGAATGCATAAAGGTAAGTGACCTTCAGCCTTTACAACCACTTTAATGAAACATAAAAATTGCACACAGTTTTGATCATCAGTTCTACTTGTGACTTTTGTTGTAAATATAACAAATCTGTCTATTTTTCAGGATTGTGCTCGTGGCACTGCTCACTGTACCATATTTCAATGTCCTCTGTACAGTTTCGACCAGCAGGTGGTGCTCAATGTCCATGGACGGTTATGGAATAGCACATTTTTAGAGGTAAGATTCCCAACCCAACTACTATTATTCTGTGACAAGTTAAAATATATTTTCCTTTTTTAATGTTGTAGTGTCTTATTCGTTTAGGACTACCCATCTGGAAGTGCCCTAGAGGTGGTCATCAGAGCAAATATCACTGTGAAGTCTAGTATTAAGAACCTGGTACTGAGAGATGCTACAACACAGGTACACTTAACCTCTTTGGGATTGGTTGCATCTATAATTTAACATTTTCCATTGTATGCTAAAGTCATGCCATACCATTCTATAAATATAAATATCTGTGTGATATGTTTAAACTGTATATTATGAAACACCTTACCAAGCTGGAATTTTGCTTAGTGTATGCATAGCAAAAACATTTCTACTTAGTTATTAATAGAGTAGAGAAGGTAGAAACCGCTGTCAGATTGATTTTCTGTCTGTGTCCAGTTGCAGGGATTTCCCTTCACTTCCTGTCCAAGAGATACAGTAGGAAACAAAGGGGAAATTTCTACAAACTACTGTGGAATGCCCCTCTATGACAGTTGTTTCTGGAACAGGTGTTGCCATTAGAAGGTTTCCCATCACCTATTGTTCTGGCGACAACTGTAAAATTTTGGGTCATTTCTCTTTTTCTGTCTCAGTGACGATGGTCACCAGGACAATTGGAGAAAATGAATCTGCCCAGAGAAGACCCATAACAACAGCATATAACAAATATATACTTCAATTTGTGTCCTTGCTTGTCCTTTTGCCATGTGCCTAGAGCGATAATTTGTACATCCCAGATTGTACTTTGAATACTGTTTGGTTCTGGTGTCTTGGACACATGGGAAGTAAGTATAGTTCTGTCTTTGTAAAGTCTTCTTCTTTTTTTAAAAAAAAGAGGAGAATAAATTAAGAAATCTGAACAGACAACACTACCCAATACTTATTCTCCACGTTGGCCTTAGTAGGGCAGGAATGGATCCTTCTTTGCATCTTTACTGCAGCCCACTTTCCTCTTGTTCCCCTCGTTCCTCTTGTTCCCCTTGTTTCTCTCTCAGTCCTGGCATGGCTGTACGAAAATAAGTGAATGTTGTTAGTCCTTTGCCAATGTTAATGACTTTAGAGAATTTTCTATGCATTGATATGGAGGATCTGTTAGAGGGAGTAGGACACAGAACTTTTGTATTGGCTGCTCTTGAGAGGCTGCTCCAAAAGAGTACATGGTGAATTAAATAAAGTTGATACCAGCAGAAAATCGACAGGTAAAGGCTGGGGGAGCAATGAAGTAGCATAAATACCAAGTATTATCATACCTTGTCCCTTTATTCTAAACAGGAAAATGATTTTGAATGCTGTTTAATAATATGGCAGAGGAGTTCCAGGGATCCCTAGAGAAATGGGTGATTTTTTTTATAGGACTAAACATTTTTACCTGTGGCTACAGCCAGCTGTGACAGGGAGATTTCTGTCCAATATTACAATTGTAACCATTTTGCTCACACCTATAGATCTCTGTCATGCTGTACTCTGATCTTGATATTGTGACACATGGAGGGGTTCCTTGGTGGATCATTCTTATTGCAATTCTGGCTGGATTATTACTGCTATTACTACTAGTCTGTATCCTATGGAAGGTAAGAAGCATGAATCACCGGTTTTGGTGTATTAAAATATGAACCATATTTTTTTTAATTACTTTGTTATCAAATATGCATCTTGTGAATAATTTTCCTCTGCGCATAAGCAGAACTATACTTATCATAATGGCAATCAAAGGCCAGTACCTGGGACAGAAGAGGGGGGGGGGGGCAGGATCAAGCTTCAGTATCTCAAAATTTCTGCTTATTTTGTGATCCTCTTCTGGATACCTCTGGATATTTGTGGCTAATTCTAACGAGAACCAAAGAGAAAAGCAGGTGCAGGGGATATTGAGAGGGGGCCAAAGACTCTTTATAGTTCTTGGTTTTGTTTGGTGATCTGTACTGTGAAAATGTAGCTTTGTATAAATCCCAGATATCATGAATTCTCTAACAGCACATTCAAACATTAGTATCTTTAATAAATGAATCACATGGAACAAAGAGTGGGAAAATGATCAGAAACCAAACAATCACATAGGCCTGCTGACTGCTGGTTGACATTGTGCCATTCCTGCTCATGAACTACAGCGCCACCAGCAAATGTTTTGACAGTCAGGTCATGCCTAGGGTAGTATGATGTTATAATAAGGTCCTATATTGTAAGGATCTGTGAATCTCTGAACAACCAGTGATAATTCAAAGTAGTATAATCAGTGTTATCCAGCACCTGACATGATGTCACTGAACACAACATTCTTAAGTGCTTTCATTACAGTGATACCCGACGCTAAGCCAGTACTCCATGTTTTGCTTTGCTTCGCACTTAAAGGATTTTACTCATCTCCTAATTACATCACTTGCATTAGTTTTATTCCAAATCACTTTACAAAATGGAATCAACATGCACTCCTCTGGTGCCCCACATATATTGCTAGCATTGTTTCCCAATCTACAGAATTAAAAAAGGTTATCAGAAGAAAGAATAGATTTTATTATGTTATCTGGCACTCACCAAGAGATTTCATAAATGTTTTTTAAATCTAAGTTTGAATAAAAGTAACTTGGTAGGGCACCCCAATTAAGAATCTGCAATCCCTCTAAGCATTAAGTGACAAAGTAAGTTGCTGTTAGTAGCAAAAGGAGGCCTAGGGTGTTTGGTGAAGTTTTGTAAGAGCAAGAAGACAAGATTATGAATAATACCTACTTTAAATGTGGCGCATAAGGCATCATTTAGGTATCCTAGGAGAAATCATTTCAATAAATTTCATATAGGGTAAAAAGTCCAAGTACTGCAAAAGGCCAATCTGTGTGTACTTTGCCTAACAGTTGCACGTATGACAACATTCAACAACTATGGCTGTTCCTAGACCCAGTACTTTGCTATGTTGGGGACCTTTTATGCAGAATTACAGATAACACCTACAAAGCATAAGTGGTCAATTAAAGCATATCCTAATCCCATCGTTTGTTCAATTCCTTGGAGGCTCCTATGGAAAAAAAATACACAGGTATATGCCATTTTTTCTTTCTAAAACAGCCTTGAAGACTGCTTTAGGTTGATTTATGGAACCTAGGTGTTAGGCCAGTCATAGATGATGCAATTTTCTTTCCTGCAAGTAGGAGTCGCTCGAGTCCCCCGTTAACACTGTCAGTGTTGATGGGGGAATGCCTTCCATGGAGCTATTGTGTTCTCAGAACACATTGGGGCTGATTTACTAATACTGGAGAGTGCAAAATCTGGTACAGCTCTGCATGGTAGCCAATCAGCTTCTAACTTCAACTTGTGCAATTAAGTTTTGACATAAAAACCTGGAAGCTGATTTGTTTCTCTGCACAGCTGCACTAGATTTTGCACTCTCCAGTTTTAGTAAATCAAACCCATTGTGTTCTCAGAACTAGCAGCTATAGCTGCTGGCAATAATCGCATAAAAATCGGACAGGCTGGTTGCACCCAAGTCATACTACAATTGAATTGGGTACAACCAACCTGCCCATAAATGGTTTGAACCTCAGCCAGTCCCTGCTGAACTGTCCAAGATTCAAACCGTAAATGGCCGGCTTTAGTCTTATCAACAGCTTCATAGCTCATATGTAGTAAGGTGAAACACATCTCCACATGTGATAAATATCTTATATCCATCCTGCTCTAATTCTCTTTGGTATTCTTTGTTTCTGTTCAGCATATTACACTGTTCTCATGCTAAGGAATACAGATAAACACATAACATAGGATAACGAACTTTAGCTCATTGCTGTCTTCCCCTATTACTTCCAGTGTGGTTTCTTCAAGAGAGAGTCCGCAGAGTCCAAGTATAAAACAAACTACTATCGGGCACAATTGGGGGTACAGCCCTCCGAGGCACAGAGGCAGGCCGAGGAGGATTTCTAGCTGGTAACATCCAGCACGAGTGTGTTATGAAATGCTGCATAATATACTTGATATCCTAATCTCATGCTGGTGTTTAAAACTAACCTAGTTGTAATGCTGCTGTGTGGATTGCTTGCAAACATTATACACGGTGATGAGTCTTTTCAACAGACATGCTTATTTATTAATATTTAATAATAATCTCTTAGTTTTTAAATAAGTATATCATGTTTGCTGAATTAATGCATGCTGTATGCTAGCCAAAAACAAAAGTATGAGCCTACTCACACAGAATCTCGCATAAACAGTTGCTAGAAGCAGATGCAGTATTCAGTGGCAGTTATACTAGTATATTATTTTCTAGTAACCACTGTCATGCATGTTTCTTCTATGTACTAGTATAGGCATCCTAAGGTACTGTCCACTTTTGTCATATGACTCACTTCTTTACCCTAAAAGCATAACTAAAAAAGTAAGCTTCCAGTTGTAAAGAGTGTACACCTAGAGGAACATTTGTAATGGAGAGTGGATATCAACTGTATAACGCAAGATTACTGCACATCGTGGCATATTCATAAAAGGCAAACCATGAGGGCCAACTGCGTTTTCTCTGCTTAATGCACCAGAGAGAACACTGAGATTGAAGAAGATGCCATTCACATGACTTTGGCAGCCTTGACAAGGCTCATCCCTCAGTTTTTTTAATTCTTCTCTTCCATTCAGAAGAATGTACTTAGTGTTTGGGACTTCCAAGTCAGTGGAGTGCTAATCACATATGTAAAGCACATTAATGCACTTTATAAGTAGACCCCTTAGGGTCGCAACATTTAGTGTTCTGTTAAAAAGGCTGCTTTATGCATTGACATAGCTCCTTATTCCCAGTCTAAGTGGATTGTATGGTCACATGTTGACTTGGCACCATCCGCAGGCAGCTTAAAGTGCCACTAAAGCTTTGTTTTTTAAGTAACAGACGTGTATACTTACTTGCACTGTGCAGTGGTTTTGCACAGAGCAGCCCCAATCCTCTTCTTTTCAGGTCCCTGCCAGCGCTCCTGACTCCTCCCCCTTGAGCATTGCCTCCAGGGAAAGCTGCTTGCCCTGGGGGCAATACTGCGCGCTCGTCCCCATGCTGCTGCTCTATGTGTCCATAAGACACATAGAGCTGCGGCTCATCAACCCCCCCCCCCACACACAAACATACTCTCTCTCCTCATTGGCGTACAGGCTGGGATTGACTGCAGCGGGAGCCCATTGGGGCCCATTAGAGTCTCAGCCATTGAGGAGGAAGAATACCCAGACAGCAGGAACTGTCAAGAACGTCACTGGATCAAAGGGGGCTCAGGTAAGGATTGGAGGGATGGGGGGGGGGGGAGGGGCACTGCACACAGAAGGTTTTTTACCTTCATGCATAGAATACATGAAGATAGAAAACCTTGAGCCTTTAAAACTACTTTAATTCTTCAATGACTAACTAAAAAAAGGAGAAGATAGGGAGAGAAACCAAAGTCACATTGTAAGCAAGTTGTAGTGGCCCAAAACCTCTGCTAGGTGTCAATGACCTGATGCAGTTCAATACAACAGAGAAAAAAAATACATATACGTGGAACAAAAGATATGGCAAGCCACCACGTTTAATAGATCGCAATAAGGTGGCCTTGCAGGGATTATATTTTAAGTGTTTCAATAAAAATGATCATACTTGTTGTCAGTCACTTTCCATCAGTATTTTTTGTTGGAAATGAAGAGAGTTCAGGCTGAAAAAGTATTATTTTTGATGAGGTTGTAGTGTGTGTTTGTGACATAATTCAACATTATCTTTCCTGTTTTGAATTTAAATTTAAGAAAAACTAAAATCTGCAAGGCACCATTAAAGTAACTCCCAAATATAATCCAAAATGTTTGATTGAATTTAAAAAAAAAAACTACTCAGTGTGTGTGGCTAATATTCGAGAGGACACCACTTCCCAGTTATAGCTGCAGTGCCTTGACTACTTGATCTGGTTAGCACATGTTCTTGAAGATGGAGAAGGCAAGACACTGCTAGATTTTAATTGAGCATCTGCTATAAACTCATTTTAAAGAAGAGGGTTGTCAGTGAGCAATACTATATAACATATCTGCATTCACATTTCTATGATCTTACTACATTAAACCGAAGATTGATTGGTGATTATATTGGAAATACTGTTTGCTCCACATTATTGAAAACATTCACTTCGACTGAGTTTTGATAAACGAATAGCTTTAGTGGGAAAGGTGAAGGCCTTGTTAGTAAACTTTTGTGGTCTCCATCTAAAACTGATAATAGATTTCTGTAAACTGTTGAGACATATATAAAACATTTTTTATTTATGCCATGTTTTGAGCACATTAGTGTAAAGTAAAATTGGTTGTTATGGACAACACAGTCCACTCCTCTGTCAAACACTTCAGTACCTCAAACATATTCAACACATTCAAGACCCTAATAACACAGCTGGACGGTGTGACGGTGTTGTACACATAAACTTGTTCCATATTACTTTGCCATGTTCCCTAATGTTGCCCTATTTTCTTCATAGTGTGGGTTTTTTAAGAGGAAGCATTACCAAGATAAGCTGCCACAGTACCATGCTGTGAAGATCCCACGGGAGGAGAGACCCATGGTTCTGGAGGAGAAGACAGGGACCATTAAAAAGAAAGACTG